TACAAAAGTATATGTTTACAGTCGAAGTGTTGCCATGTGTTCTTTAAAGTAGTTATGTACTTATTATGTAATTGATTTGACTCAATACCATTGCATGATTTAGACTGTTATTATTGTTTATCTGTTTATTTTTTGTCGTGCCGCACTGACTGTTTACCGTACTTCTATGTTGTATAAATTGTATGTATCTATCCTTCAACCTCTAGTTGATGAAAGCCAAATGAACTGGTATCTGTTGTTTATGTATTGTCTTTTCATTGTATCTCAACAGCTCACCTTTCTTAATTAATTAATTAACAATCTACTTCTTTTCATAAATTTGCTTCAAAATCAAAATAACAATTTTTGGAGCTGTTGATGCTTAAAACCAGAAGAAAAACATTGGCTATTTTTATACTCTCCCTTTTAAGATTTTCGACATTAAGGGGTGCGTTGCGTAGCTGTTCTATGCTGCCATTCTATACCTGAAAATATAATCTTTTCATTTTTTTCTTATGTATTTCGTTCGGTATGAAGAGCTGCGGTTCATGTTACTAGCAACCCAAAATGTAGTCCCATGACATTTTGGTTGAATATTTTGTACCATGATATTTTATCATTCGAGAGTATGCATAGATGAAAATGTAATATGTCAAGTATTTTTGTTTGCTCATGGTTTGTCTTTGATGTGTGAATCATTTAATAGCCGTAGTAACGGCTAGGGCACCTCAGTACACAAAATGTAAAGAATTGCAATCAATTCAATTAAATTTTCGAGACATAAAGTCATCTACCAGTGCGTATATATTGCGGCTTTCCACCAACGGTCTAAACCCGCTGCAAGTTACCAAGTTGATCCAAATAAAATAAATTTAAATATTAAGTTAAAAACTAAACTACAAATTATCACTTAAAATGTGAAAATTTTGAAAGATTTAGGTTTTTCTGTAAATAGATACTTGTTAAGCGCCTCCAAGACTTTAATGTACGTCTCGTATACAGCTATACTCATAAAATGCCACTTGATTAATCTTAAAATTAGAATCATACCCTTTTCTATAATTTTCGGCTGATTTCCCTGTAAGAAATGGAATTTAAAATTACAATGTGTCTCGGGTGGAGCCCTCTTTCCAAAGCTTTATTGTTTGTTGGATATTTTTAGGCTCGTTTAGTGCATCGGCCTGGGCAGTCTTTGCCACCACAATCCATTTAAGTCACTTGTTATTTCTTAGCTGCTGTGTGCGGGACAGGGCACCTGACCACACCATAGAGAGCATCCCCTCGCCGCCCGACCGAAGCTAAATGTATTTAATCGTAAACCCCAAAGACTGTTAGCCGAGGCGGTCGGCGGGGGGCTGTCTTGAGAACTGCGTGGGAGGGATATTGCCCTGTCTGTCACAGTGATTGGTTTTGTTCCGTGGTCGCGCCAAACTGTCCCTTAGCCATCTGATTTGTCAAGTATTTTCTACCTCATATGACATTAGTGTTTAGGTGTTAACTGTATGTGTGATTTTTTCGTCTCGATATTGTTATCTTCTTTATGAAAGGAAAGCATATGCAGATGGTAGTCGGATGAGTTATTGATCTGCAAGTACGGAAGTAAGCAGATTTCTGTAAGAATTGAACTGATTTGGAATTTGACAGACTGATGGAGTTTGCAGAAGTCATTCGAAGGATTGTGTTTGAGAGAAAAGTGGTTTCTCTGTTGAATAGTGTTGCAGTGTTTCGCCCCTTGAACAGAGCTGTTTGTGCTCTCGGAGATGCTTTACCTCGCCTTCGTGCTTTGTTCAACGGTCGGAGATCTGAGACTCGATCAGCAATCCAGTCGTAATTTATTAAGGATGTCATTGTTAATTTGTTAACCATGTATCTCGGTAGCTGGTAAAAAAGCATTCCCAATGAGTGAAAATGTGAAATCCTCAAATTCTCTATTTCTTTCGGTGTCATTATTTTAAAAAAGTGGGTATTTTGTAGATACCCTGTCTAGTTGTGAGAATGTGATGCTGCTTACTTGTATTTATACTACTTGTAAATTAAATGTCCTCTGATTTTAAACCTACACCTCTCTGGCTTTTGGTATTACCCACACCCGCCCACAAAAAAAAATCAAGAAATAATTAACACTCAAAAGCGAACAGAAAACGCTCTCGTCCTTCCGGCCATTCAAGTCACTCGTCGCCGAGTTGACCACGCGTCAAGAAAAATGACGAGAGAACACTCTTGGCGACGGAAAAGCAACAGGGAGACGAAATTCCGAAAACTGAAAGTATTGGCTGCACCCCACCCACATTCAAGAGGGAAGTCCCGTGGCCGCGCGCCGCCGGCGGGCCGTGCCAAAGCGGATTGGCGCGGCTGACCTGACCTCTCCTCTCCGCCGAGCGCCTTGTTCGCGCAGATAGGCAGACCCGGCGCGCCGGGCCGCCCGCCGGGGTTGCCTGCCCGCCCGGCGCTGAGGGGCACCGCGCCCCGCCGCCCGCGCCCGACCGGGGCCTGCCTCTACTCTAGCGGAGAAGCGGCGCTGCTATTCCAAGCGACGAGTGACGGCAGAAAAGAGGGCTTCCAGGATGCACGCCCAGAGCTGCGTGTCAAAGCACGCGCGTTCGCTAGGAACTGTCATACAAGTGTCTGTAAGCAGACAATCTTACAAAAAAATTAAAAAATGTGCGCGTGTTTAAAAAAATACAGCGCGCACGGGGGGGATGATGGAAGAAAACACAGAAGAGAAGGGCTGGTGACAAGTCCGGAATTAAATGTCTGGCCCGAGGGGAGGGAGTATCGACTTCAAGGCCATGGCACGCCCCCCTCTCTCTCTCTCGCACGCGTGTCCGGGGGCGAGGCGTGAGAAGAGCGACGCGTGCGTGCTGCTCGCGGGCTCGAAGGCATTACTTTGAAGAAAAGGCGACTCGAAGAAAGGGGGCAAAAAGTTAATCGAAGTGAGATTGGGCGACGGGGGTGCGTTGCGATGACTTGGGGATGGGAGCCCCCCCCCCCCTTTCTACGCATTCGCTATTCGCTGATTTCTGAACTACTCTCTCTCTCTCTCTCTCTCTCTCTCTCTCTCTCTCTCTCTCTCTCTCTCTCACACACACACACACACACACACACACACACACACACACACACACACGCACGCACGCACGCACGCACGCACGCACACACATCCATCCGTCCACACATCCGGGGGGCTCGCCCCCCGGCCCGGCCCAACTTTGTTGGACGGCAGCCCTGGCGCGAGGACTGCAAACTGCAGGCGGCTCGGCCCGACCTTGGCAGTGAATCCGAATCGCAATTGTGAGCAAAGCGAGATGCGCTCCTTTCTGCACTCGCTCGCTACACGACCCGGGCCGGCCGGCAGCCAGTCCTGATCACCCTCAACACTGTTGCCAACCGACGGAGTCGAGGAGGAAGCGGCGAATGCGAATGAGAGAGAGAAAGGGAGAGAAGGGGAAGGGGGGGAGTGCTCCCGCCTGAAGCTCGAGTTGGTTCGGTTCGCCCGGGCCGTAGCCCGGCACCGCCGAAAACAGTGTAACCTTCAACGGTCACGCGAAGCAAAATAAGGCGGTGGGGCGGTGGCAGCGGCCGAGCTGGGCCTGCTGCGGCAGCAGCTGCGGTAGGTGCAGACAGCTGCGGTGGTGGCGGCCGCGGCGGCGGTAGCGGTCGCGAAACAGCTTCGGCAACTGCGGGGG